GAATCAAGCTATAAATCACGTCTGACTTTTCATGAGATCAAGAACTAGCGTACAGGCTAGACGCTTAGCAATCGCTACTCAAATTCATTGAACCAATACACGGTAACATAAAATAAAAATGTCATCCTTCTTCAATCAGCGGTCATCTAAGTTTTGAGTGAATATTTCGAGAAAGTTAATAGTGATTTCTTTCAAAGCAAATGCCTCTGACGCCCAAGTCGTCCATCCAAATGGACGGTCAGCATGTTGCTAGATGAATTTGTCTTAAAGACATGCTAAAGTATATAATTGCGTGGTACCCGTTGTTTCGTTAGCCCAGAGCTAGAAAGTTAATTTCAGGCTTCGATTATAGAAAATATGTTCCGTTATTTTTATCCTTGGCATTCCATACCTCACACTAACGAGTGGACAACGTAAACAACCCAATAATGCAAAGAGACCGAAGAAATCAGCTACAGTAAGCTGAATTCGCCTATTCACCTCCTCAAAATTTTTCATTTACGCAGATGAGTGTTTGCGTAGAATCTATGACGAGGGATACATACATGACCTTACAGTCAGAAGAAACAGCGAAAGTGGATTGGTAGCAGAAGTTGAGACGTGGCGCTGAAGACCCGTGGGAACGAACGATCAAAGACCACTGAAACCTTATTCACCTGGACTTAGTTAGGCACTTTTAGAGGCAGCTGGAGATTGTGGGTTGGCACTCCCTGCTTTTACTTTCTCTGCAACTTATGGTATTGACAGCCACAAATATACACATAAAAACGAGAACCACATGATTAGTGGTACTGAATGTTTCCGCGAAGATTTCGTGAATTTCAAACATTTCGAGAAAGCAGTCTCAAATCTTCACGACATCCCCTCCTAATTTCAAAGCTCCATGGCACCGCAATGCGAGCGAATAACGACTATTGCGCGATCGGCCTTAATCTGAAATAACAGACTCAATATCTATCCATGTCACTCACTTGCATGTAAATAGCCAATCCACCGAGGCGGTCATGAATCGATCATGCCACAAGCACTGAATTGAAGCAAATGACTTTCGATCAACTGATTTATTGATTCCGAGTGTTGTGTATGCAAAGCAGGCGATGAACCGGCTGGACAGTTGGGCTTGGAGGACCGACAGATGGCAAAGGTAAAACTGAGGGACATGGCCTTTAGGATCGTTGGTTCCGGGAAGCCAGCCGCCGTGCTCAAGTTTACAACGCTTTCGCTGCTTAAGACGATTAACCGAGGCAACGCTCTCCGCTCCCTGCTTGCGGACAATCATGCTTATGCTGTAAATACTGTTTGCCACATGTCACTGAAAATCAGTTCCTATGACGTCAGCGCAACTGACTGCTTAGAAAATGTCACATGAGATCAGAGATTGTAAGAACTGGCCAGAGAAGAACTGCTCGTGAGGAACTCCGCTGAAACCGTGGCAGTACGTGCACTCTTGTCACCATTTAAGGGACCCTCGCAAAAGAATCAAAAGAATCCTCATATCCTCTCCAGATGGAATTTTCAGGTGTTCAAATCTTTGATACTAAAAGCGGTATGACTTAGATACTCTATGTTAGTGTCTCTATGCAAAGCCTATAAACAAGGAATCAATCCTCTTACTATCAACCGCTTATCAGATTTAGCTATGTCGCCACCATCTCTCTGATAATCTGCCAGTGAACTGAGGAAGGAAAGCTGCGCTGCGTTCTGTAATTTATAGGTACTCTCTGTTTTACAGGAGTAATTCATTTTACTGAGTGCGTCTGCTGTGACAGATGAAATTTCAGTAGTTTGCTTGAATAGCATACCGAAGTATGTCCATTATAAAAACAGAACGTACTGTAGGCTTTAATATACTCGTAGAAGAAGTCTGGCCTAAAATCCGATTTTAAGATCACTTTTTATGTTTAATGCAACTGAGAGCAAACAGAAGATAATG